AGGTTCTTATAATCATGCGAAAGCATCAACTGTATGCAAACCTCAAGAAGTGTACATTTGCAGCCAGCGAAATACCACTTCTTGGGTGCATCGTTGGTAAGAACGGTGTACGTCCTGATCCCGAAAAGATCAAGGCGATCACCGACTGGCCTGTGCCAGTTGACGTCAAAGGTCTTCGAAAATTCCTTGGGCTAGCGGCGTATTTGCAAAAGTATTCACGCAATTACGCCGAGATGACTGTGCACCTCTCTCGTTTGTTGAAAAAGAACGAGAGGTGGTTATGGAACGCTGAATTTCAGCGCTCCTTTGATGGTATCAAGCAGAGCTTGATACAACCCCCAGTCCTAGCAATAGCCGATCAGGACAGGCCATTTCATGTGGTCTGGGATGCCAGCGATTTCGCAATCGGCTGTGCATTAATGCAGTACGATCTTGAAGGCGTTGAACGCGTCGTCTGCTATCAGTCGCGTCAGCTGCAACCAGCTGAGCGGGACCTTCCAGTGCATGACAAGGAACGCTTTGCGATGAAGTATGCACTCGAAGTTCAGAGTCTATCTATTAGGAGATAGACCTTTCATTGTTTTCACTGACCATGCGTCATTACGCACGGCAGTGAACAGCCCTCACCTTTCACAACGAATGGCGCGGTGGTTGTCATTCCTTGCAGAATACAACTTTACGGTCGAGTACAAACCAGGACGACTTAATATCGTCGCTGATGCACTCTCCCGTCGTCCCGACTTTGAACCAGTCGTGAAACCTAACAGTGAGACAGCCACAGTTGCGGTTTTGACGTCCTCAGTCCCATCTACAACGTTGTATGATGATGTGAGGCGGGCATACGCCCAAGATGGCGAGATTGTGAAGTTGTTGACACATCTCTTACAGCCATCTCGAGAATCGTTGAAACGATTGTCGTCTGCGTATCGATCTGCATCAGATCGATACACTACTCGCAACGGTTTACTGTATTATACAGCCGTTTCTGGTGACACACCACGTGCTGTCATTCCAGATGATACTGATCTGCGTTTGCGGATCATGTTCGAGTATCACGATGCTCCTATAGGAGGACATCGTGGCCGGGAGAAAACATATCTCACGGTGAGTCGAGACTTTTACTGGCCCCGCCAGTATCAGTTTGTGCGAAAGTATGTTCGCGCATGCGAAGTCTGTCAACGAGTGAAGTCAAGCCCTTCACTGCGTGCACCTTTACAGCCTCTACCGGTTCCGGCTGAGTGCTGGGAATCCATCTCAATGGATTTCGTCTTCGAGTTACCCAAAGACGCACGCGGGAATACGGGTATTCTTGTATTTGTTGACAGATTCAGCAAAGTGGTACACCTTGTGGCTGACCAGAGACAATCACGGCAAGTGGCTGTGCTTGTGTCTTCATTGACACCATCTTCCGACTTCATGGGTTGCCCCGTGAACTCGTATCAGACAGAGATCCACGATTCACTGCTGATTTCTGGCGTTCCGTGTTCAAATCACTCGGAACGCGCTTGAAGATGTCGACATCTGATCATCCAGAGTCAGATCGTCAGACGGAACGTGCCAATCGTGTCCTTGAAGAGATACTTCGAGGATACGTACACTCCTTTTAGAGTTGGAGTGAGTTTTTGCCAATGGTGGAGTTTGCCATTAACAACTCGGTGCATGCGTCCACGACACATACACCGTTTTACGTGAATGGCTTACGCCATCCGCGTGTACCCACCTTACTAGAGTATAACTCTGGTTTCAGGGGGGGGAGGGACTCGCGCGAGCAAAAACCGATTTGGTTCACGCTCATCACGCTCTGACGAAGAGGTCATTGCGTTTGATGCCGATATCGATAACATCGATATCGAAGAAGATGATGCTAGTGAGAGTGCGGAAGCCCTCACTGAAGAAAAGGTTGATGTTGCCGCAGTGCGCTCACAGCGCACTGAAGCTAACGAGTCATCAGATTAGTTCATATTGGCTCGTGAAACGGTAGTCCGTTTTGTGCAAGACTCCATCGCCGAAGCGGTGGATAAGCAAAAGCAAAATGCAGACAAGAATGGAAGAGCAAACACTCTTTTATTTAATAAAGGTGACTTAGTCCTACTGTCTACGGTTAATCTACCAAAGCATGTAGTGACTAACTTGGGTAGTAGTAAACTTCTACCCAAGTACATCGGCCCATTTCGTGTATTGCATCGCCTAGGCAATGCATACACGATCGAATTGCCACGTAAGATGCGAGCGCATCCCACGTTTTACGTTGGTCGGCTTAAGCCGTACCATCAGTACGCTGCTTCTTCCGATGAAGAACGCCCTTGCGCTCAAGCATCTCGCAGAGAGCCTTGTGCTCCCGATGGTGGGCATCGACAAGGGTCTGAAGAGCAGTTATCTCAGCCCGAGACCGATCAACATTCCCACGAGCTACCCTTAGCTCGTCACGAAGATATGTCAGAGATCTCTCGTTCTCAAGCTGAGCAAAGGCAAACTCAGCTCGATGCCTCAAGACAGTGTCCACCAGTTGGAGACGCCTGTCCCGCTCATGTTCGAGATCGTCGCGTAACCCTTGCGTTACGCGATCAAAGAAGCTCTCGGGAACACACGGATCCCCATGATCGTGTGGAGAGCGTCTTCCTCCTCCTCCACCTCCATTAGAGGACTCTCGCGGTGGCCAGCGCTATCTAGTTGAGCAGCTGTTGAACCACCGCGACGTGAACGGACGTCGGACGAGTTATCTCGTCCGGTGGCGCGGCTATCCCCCGTCCTGGGATTCTTGGGAGCCCTGCTCCCAACTGATGGTTGACGTACTGGGTCTGGTTGAGCAGTACGACGCGGCACATCCTGTGCCGCAGAAGGACCGCCGGAGAAAGTCTTCCCGGCACGGTCGTAAAGGGATTTCAGGTTGTCAATCCCTTCGTACATCTCAGTAGAGATACGTACGCGCCACCACGGGCTGGTAAGGAGGTAAGCCTCCTTAGGTGCTCGTGCAGAGTTGTTCACACAACATGGGCACGAGTCTCCCCAGGAAAGACAGGGTAATCCTTTCTCCCTAGACAGACGATGCAGCTTGTAGCGTGCACCTGTCGGGGTTCGCTTTTCAAACTTATCACGAGCTTTGATAAGTTTGTCGTTCCAAACGTCACGACCTACATCCTCAAGGTTATGGATGTAGGCGTTCCACGCTTGAAGCAGTGAGGGACCATCACGTTTGTGATTCACACTATACCATCGATGTCTAAAGAAAGCATCGATGAAGAAATCATGTTCAGCGCGATAGTTCTTCGCACTGGGGTCAAGGTGATGGATCCTTGACGAATCGAACAACCGTGTTCGATAACGATCACTCGTCGTCGCCGACAAGTGATCCATGACGGATTTTTGAGGCATCCATGCCTTCTTCTCAGGAGCGAGACGCAACACACTGCGGTCCCGCTCTTCTTGCGACGTGCCGACAGAAGTACTGGCACCTCGTTGCGAAGTGGTGTCCATAGGAGAACCGACACCACTGTTAGCGCCTGAGTCTCGCGATCTCGAGCGCCTTCGCTTCGGCGATGGTTTATTTGATTCATCGATGAACCAAAGATGCTGCGACGCATAGCATCATCCATGCCACGCTTGGCAGGCGGCTTGGATTCGATTGCCGTCGATACGGATCCGTCTTCCGTATCAGGAGAGAACGAGACACCGAGCTCATACTCTGTGAAGACATGAGTGTCTTCATGACGAGCGCCTGTATCACCAAGTGACACAGGCTGAGTCGCTTCAGCAACCCATGAGACATCAGTTGCTGTGGTTTCTGCTTCGGCGTCCGCACAGAGACGTGCGGACGCGCTCTCGGCGGCCTTGCTCGCGCATCGCATGGGCTTGTTAACCGTGCGATGAGATGTTGGAAAGTGGACTCGGACCAACAAGTGCAAACCCTGTCCCAACTGATTTGGGACGAGTATCCATTTAGTCAATCAGTCACTAAAGTAACTGATGGTTAAGGGGGGTGATGTAACGGCGAGAATCGTTACAAAACAATTTATAAGAAATTGTTAATAGAACATAACTATAAGAATAATATTCTCAGAATATTGTCATAAGGACAAATTTTTTGAAGCACTTACGAGTAGTTCCTAATTGGTTGATATAGGCCATTGTATCAACCAACGAAGACGCGCCACGACAGACGCACGCAATGAGAGGTGAGCAGATAGTTGATTTACACATTTGTATTTAGACATAGTCAGATGAGGATAAATAGTGATTTATTAACCGACATTAACTATTATAAATACAGTTCTACTTTTTACTGTAACTAAGTACTCGCTTCTTCTAACCGTCTTCCTCTGCACGTGCGAGTGTACGTGAAGTTCCGAGGCACCGCCTTATTCTGTTACCAGTACAAGCTTCAGGGTGCCCCGTTACAACCGGCGCTTATATCCTGGAATATGACTTTTTATGTAACGGGGCACCCTGAAGCTTGTACTGGTGACAGTACAAGCTACTTATTCTGATAACAGAATAAGGCGGTGCCTCGTAACTTCACGTACACTCGTACGTGCAGAGGAAGACGGTAAGAAGAAGCGAGTACTTGGTTAGAGTAAAAAGTAGAACTGTATTTATAATAGTTAATGTCTGCAATAAATCACTATTTATCTTCATCTAACTATGTCTAAATACAAATGTGTAAATCAGTTATCTGCTCACCACTCATTGCGTGCGTCTGTCGTGGCAAGTCTTCGTTGGTTGATATAATGGCCTATATCAACCAATTAGGAACTACTTGAAGTGCTACAGAATATTGTCCTTATGACAATATTCTGAGAATATAACTCTTATAGTTATATTCTATTAACAATTTCTTATAAATTGTTATGTAACGATTCACCCCGTTACATCACTCCCCTAACCATCAGTCACTTTAGTGACTGATTGACTAATGGATACTCGTCCCAAATCATTTGGGACGGGGTTTGCACTTGTTGGTCCGCGTCCACTTTCCAACATCTCATCGCATGGTAAACAAGCCCATGCGATGCGCGAGCAAGGCCGCCGAGAGCGCGTCTGCACGTCTCTGTGCGGACGCCGAAGCAGAAACTACAGCAACTGATGTCCCATCGGTTGCTGAATCGACTCAGCCTGTATCACCTGGTGATGCAGGCGCTGGTCATGAAGACACTCGTGTCTTCACAGAGTACGAGCTCGGTGTCTCGTACTCTCCTGATACGGATGACGGATCCGTATCGACGGCAATTGAATCCAAGCCGCCTGCCAAGCGTGGCATGGACGATGCTTTGCGTCGCAGCATCTTTGGTTCATCTGATGAGTCAGATGAACCATCGCCGAAGCGAAGGCGCTCGAGGTCGCGAGACTCGGGCGCTAATAGTGGTGTCGTTTCTCCAATGGACACCACTTCACAGCGAGGTGCCAGTACTTCTGTCGGCACGTCGCAGGAAGAGCGGGACCGCAATGTGTTGCGTCTCGCTCCAGAAAAGAAGGCATGGATGCCTCCAAAATTCGTCATGGATCACTTGTCGGCGACGACGAGTGATCGTTATCGAACACGATTGTTCGATTCGTCAAGGATCCATCACCTTGACCCCAGCGCGAAGAACTATCGCGCTGAACATGATTTCTTCATCGATGCTTTCTTTAGACATCGATGGTACAGTGGGAATCACAAACGTGATGGTCCCTCACTACTTAGGCGTGGAACGCCTACATCCATAATCTCGAGGATGTAGGTCGTGACGCTTTGGAACGACAAACTTATCAAAGCTCGTGATAAGTTTGAAAAGCGAACCCCGACAGGTGCACGCTATAAGCTGCATCGTCTGTCAAGGGAGAAAGGATTACCCTGCCTCTCTTGGGGAGACTCGTGCCCATGTTGTGTGAACAACTCTGCACGAGCACCTAAGGAGGCTTACCTCCTTACCAGCCCGTGGTGGCGCGTACGTGTCTCTACTGAGATGTACGAAGGGATTGACAACCTGAAATCCCTTTACGACCGTGCCGGGAAGACTTTCTCCGGCGGTCCTTCTGCGGCACAGGATGTGTCGCGTCGTACTGCTCGACCAGACCCAGTACGTCAACCATCAATTGGGAGCGGGGCTCCCAAGAATCCCAGGACGGGGGATAGCCGCGCCACCGGACGAGGTAACTCGTCCGACGTCCCGTTCACGTCGCGGTGGTTCAACAGCTGCTCTACTAGATAGCGCTGGCCACCGCGAGAGTCCTCTAATGGAGGTGGAGGAGGAGGAAAGACGCTCTCCACACGATCATGTGGATCGGTGTGTTCCCGAGAGCTTTTTGATCGCGTAACGCAAGGGTTACGCGACGATCTCGAGCATGAGCGGAATAGGCGTCTCCAGATGGTGGACACTGCCTCGAAGCATCGAGCTGAGTTTGCCTTTGCTCAGCTTGAGAACGAGAGATCTCTGACATCTCTTCGTGACGAGCTAAGGGTAGCTCGTGGGATTGTTGATCGGTCTCGGGCTGAGATAACTGCTCTTCAGACCCTTGTTGATGCCCACCATCGGGAGCACAAGGCTCTCTGCGAGATGCTTGAGTGAAAGGGCGTTCTTCATCGGAAGAAGCAGCGTACTGATGGTACGGCTTAAGCCGACCAACGTAAAACGTGGGATGCGTTCGCATCTTACGTGGTAACTCGATCGTGTATGCATTGCCTAGGCGGTGCAATACACGAAATGGGCCAATGTACTTGGGTAGTAGTTTACTGCTACCCAAGTTAGTCACTACATGCTTTGGTAGATTAACCGTAGACAGTAGGACTAAGTCACCTTTATTAAATAAAAGAGTGTTTGCCCTTCCATTCTTGTCAGCGTTTTGCTTTTGCTTATCCACCGCTTCGGCGATGGAGTCTTGCACAAAACGGACTACCGTTTCACGAGCCAGTATGAACTCATCTGATGACTCGTTAGCTTCAGTGTGCTGTGAGCGCACTGCAGCGACAACAACCTTTTCTTCAGTGAGGGCTTCCGCACTCTCACTAGCATCATCTTCTTCGATATCGATGTTATCGATATCGGCATCAAACGCAATGACTTCTTCGTCAGAGCGTGATGAGCGTGAACCAATTCGGTTTTTGCTCGCGCGAGTCCCTCCCCCCCTTAAACCAGAGTTACACTCTAGTAAGGTGGGTACACGCGGATGGCGCAAGCCATTCACGTAAAACGGTGTATGTGTCGTGGACGCATGCACCGAGTTGTTGATGGCAAACTCTACCATCGGCAAAAACTCACTCCAACTCTTAAAGGAGTGTACGTATCCTCGAAGTATCTCTTCAAGGACACGATTGGCACGTTCCGTCTGACCATCTGACTCTGGATGATCAGATGTAGACATCTTCAAGCGCGTTCCGAGTGATTTGAACACGGAACGCCAGAAATCAGCAGTGAATCGTGGATCTCTGTCTGATACGAGTTCACGGGGCAACCCATGAAGTCGGAAGATGGTGTCAATAAAGACACAAGCACAGCCACTTGCCGTGATTGTCTCTGGTACAGCCACAAGGTGTACCATTTTGCTGAATCTGTCAACAAATACGAGAATACCCGTATTCCCGCGTGCGTCTTTGGGTAACCCGAAGAAGAAATCCATTGAGATGGATTCCCAGCACTCAGCCGGAACCGGTAGAGGCTGTAAAGGTGCACGCAGTGAAGGACTTGACTTCACTCGTTGGCAGACTTCGCATGCGCGAACATACTTTCGCACAAACTGATACTGGCGGGGCCAGTAAAAGTCTCGACTTACCGTGAGATATGTTTTCTCTCGGCCACGATGTCCTCCTATAGGAGCATCGTGATACTCGAACATGATCCGCAAACGCAGATCAGTATCATCTGGAATGACAACACGTGGTGTGTCACCAGAAACGGCTGTATAGTACAGTAAACCGTTGCGAGTAGTGTATCGATCTGATGCAGATCGATACGCAGACGACAATCGTTTCAACGATTCTCGAGATGGTTGGGAGAGATGTGACAACAACTTCACTATCTCACCATCTTGGGCGTATGCCCGCCTCACATCATCATACAACGTTGTAGATGGAACTGAGGACGTCATAACCGCAACAGTGACTGTCTCACTGTTGGGTTTCGCGACTGTTTCAAAGTCGGGACGACGTGAGAGTGCATCAGCGACGACATTAAGTCGTCCTGGTTTGTACTCGACCGTAAAGTTGTATTCTGCAAAGAATGACAACCACCGCGCCATTCGTTGTGAAAGGTGCGGGCTGTTCACTGCCGTGCGTAAGGACGCATGGTCAGTGTAAACAACGAAGGGTCTATCTCCTAATAGATAGACTCTGAACTTCGCGAGTGCATACTTCATGGCAAGGAGTTCCTTGTCATGCACTGGATAGTTCCGCTCAGCTGGTTGCAGCTGACGCGACTGATAGCAGACGACGCGTTCAACGCCTTCAAGGTCGTACTGCATTAATGCACAGCCGATTGCGAAATCGCTGGCATCACAGACCACATGAAATGGCCTGTCCTGATCGGCTATTGCTAGGACTGGGGATTGTATCAAGCTCTGCTTGATACCCTCAAAGGAGCGCTGAAATTCAGCGTTCCATAACCACCTCTCGTTCTTTTTCAACAAACGAGAGAGGTGTACAGTCATCTCGGCGTAATTGCGTGAATACTTATGCAAATACGCCGCTAGCCCAAGGAATTTTCGAAGACCTTTGACATCGACCGGCACGGGCCAGTCGGTGATCGCCTTGATCTTTTCGGGATCAGGACGTACACCGTTCTTACCAACGATGCACCCAAGAAGTGGTATTTCGCTGGCTGCAAATATACACTTCTTGAGGTTTGCATACAATTGATGCTTTCGCATGATTGTAAGAACTTGTCGGACGTGGTACCTGTGAACCTCAACGTCCGACTTTCCATCCATAGCTCGACTATGGATGAATACGTCATCGAAATAACTCGGCGCGAATTCTCGTACCGGCCTCAACAGATGTGATACACACCTGTTGAACGTGGCAGGGGCATTACTGAGCCCTTGTGGCATTACTAGCCATTCCCAGAGCATGCCGCTAGGCGTGCTAACTGCGGTATAGGGTATATCCCGTTCCCGCATTAGGATTTGATAGAAGCCATCCATCAAATCCATGGACGAAAAGATGGTACTCTTTGACATACCATCAATGATTACGTCCTTCCTCGGTATCGGCGTCTGAGCCGGTACCGTTGCAGCGTTCAATTTGTTAAACGCGTGCACTATCCGCCACCCTCCTGTTGCTTTTCGCACACAGAAGGTCGGAGAGCTATGTGGGGAAGTTGATTCCCTCACATGGCCCGCTGCTAAACGATCGGCAAAGAACTTGTCGATCGCAAGTACTTGTTCACGAGGCAGTGGCCACTGCTTCATGACACAGTACTTCGAGCCTGGTTTAAGCTCGACTTCGTGTCGAATACCTTTATCCTTCGGTAATTCGCACGGAACAGTTTCAGGGAATACATCCTTGAATTCAACCAAATCTTCATAGAGAGGATTTTCCTTGAGCGATTCCCATGATTGGGACTCATATCGCTCAATTCGTGTCTTTTCATCTAGGACACTCTCGTCCATAGATGAACTACTGAGAACTCTCTCGTTCTCAGTAAACACTGTTGCTGACCTTATGTCGGTTACATACTCGTCGTCAGCGACGAGTATGCAGATCTGCTTGACTTTGCCACTACGCAGATCACGCAAGAATCTTTTATGTTCGAGCGTTGGCAACTGAGTGATCTCCGAAGTTAACTTCGGAGGCGCAATCAGATCAAGTGTATAAGCGCCTACACATGATCCGTTATTGACTATGACATTCAATGTCTCTGTCATTTCCTGGGGACTTATTCCCTCAGGCTTCGAAGGACTTTTTCCTTCGTCTTCCCGGGGACTTATTCCCGCGGGTTTCGGGGAACTTATTTCCGCCGTATTTGTAATCTTGGGACTTATTCCCTTTACTTCCTCTAGCTGGGGTTGCGCAACCACAGCGAGATCCTCTACGAAAGACTCTCCAGTCGATCTAGGATTATCGTTTCGCTTAACCTGAGCGATCGATTGTTTCTCTTCTAGATGTTCCCCTCTAGGGATACATCTTTGTCCCAGTCCACCCGACTTATTCGAGTGGTGGACCTTCGGCGCAGCCTGTGTTTCCCTCACAGCCGCCGGAACTTTGCTCCGAAGTGTAACCGTTTGGTACACTAAGGTTTTGTGCAGTCTTACTAACGACCGTACCACAAGTGAGGCCATCGCACTCACTCGTAGTACATCCACACGCTTGTGGACTCTCCAAAACGTTCATCAGATGGCCATCTGATGAACAAGCGGCAGGCATCGTTACTGTCCGATGTTGCCAGTTTACCCGTGGTTCGTACCTTCTGAGCCACGGTATTCCAAGGATGACATCAAATTTGTCATCCAAATCCAATACGATAAAGTCATCGTCGTATTGGGTATCTTCTAGCGTATAGTGAATCTTCACGAAACGCTTCATGACGGTTACGGATGCGCCTGTCGCAAGACGTACCGTCATCCTCGTAGGAGGTGTGTCACATTCACTGAATTTAAAGTGACCGTCTTCTAGCGATTGGCGTCGCACAAAATTGTTGGACGCCCCACAATCGACTAGAGCTCGAAGGGACAACTTATTCGTCACTTCGAGTTTCAAGGTAATGAGTGAGATCTCATTACCTAGAGCAGCAACGCACAATGTCTGTGTGTTGGGAGCAACCTTCATCAAGAGGCCTACAAATTCTCTTGACGTTGCTGGATCAGTAGGTGCTCCGCACCTACTGATCCTGTCCGTTTTTGACGGTCCATCCCGTTGTTGCGTCTTTGCACCAACTGCGGACCCTCGTCCCTGCCCCTTTCTCATGGGTGGACGGTCACTACGCCCAGTGTCGCGAGACACTGGACGAGGGGCACTACACTCGTAAGCGTAGTGTCCTGTCTTTTTGACATCTGTTGCATCTCTGCAACTTCTTGTAGCCTGTAGAGCGAGCCTTCTCGCTCTCTACATAACAGAGTTCCATCGGCTCTGGACCTCCGTTGTCATATCGTCTCGGTTGACGATATGATGTCGAGCTGGCGCGAGCCTGTCTCAGACTGAAGTCTTCCTGCTCCGCAATGGAAATGGCTTGTTCTAGTGAATCTAGTTCAAGTAGGAACAGGTGAGTCTTGACGGGACCATCCGCAAGACCCTGCATGAACACCGAAACCAACGTGTGTTCATCCACCGGATTGGAACTTATACAACTCGTGAGATGTCGTATATGTTGAGCGTAAGCGTGCACATCACGCTTACCCTGCTTGAGCTTCAAGAGTTCGGTTCGAGCTCTGAACTCAGCTCTAGGCGGTTCAAACGTTTGTCTGAGCCGCGACTTGAAGACTTCCAACGACCCAAACGCGTATGGGTCGTGCAGCTTGAGCCCCAGTGCCCAAGTCTTGGCACGTCCTGCCAGATTTGACTGGGCAAATGCAACTTGCATATCCCCGTCGTCGATGCGACGCGCCCTTATGGCGTCATCCAATTCGACGAACCATCTCA